GGGCCGGCTGGCCCTCCGGCTCACCCAACTTGAAGAGACGCTTGTGCTCGGAGAGTATGGTCTCTGCCGAGCGGACCAGCTCCTGGCTCAGTTGTCCATCCACAGCCGAGTAGAGGTGACCCAGGGAACTGTCGGTACAACGGCAGTTGTGCACCAGTTGCCAGGTCTCCCGATTCATCATTTCGTAGGCGACACAGGCGATAACCACCGCGGCCGGTACCGTGTAGAGGACGCCAAAAATGCTAATGCGAATCATTAGCTTTTCCAGCTTCTCCGTTTTGGCGCCGCTCGGCGCTTGCAACTTGATGACACTGCGAATACGGAAGAGGGCGACAAAGCCAGCCAGCAGGAAGATGGTACCGAGGCCGAGGTAGAAGCAGAGGGGAGCTAGGACGAAGGCCTTGAGATTAGTTAAGCTCGTGGCCCCGACGTAGCATAGACCACCCACTGGGTCGCCATCCACCGCGGACATCGTTAGAATTGTCATCGCCTGTGCACCGGGAAAGAACCAAGCGACGAAGTGAAAAGCCTGCAGAAAGGGGAGACAGAAGCGGAAAAACTGAGGCCAATCGATCACCTAGCTAAAGTCAAAATCTTACAAATACAACAGCGTCATGGGTTGCATATGGGAAACAAACCGTCACAAGGAAAATGACAGTTACTGTTGGAAGGAGTTAAAGTATTCAATATTCCACCTAAATCAACTATTTATTTTACAACCTGAAAGTGAAATAATGCTAAATAAGGATAGAATTAAGTCACACTGAAGAAAAAAAGGGAATTAGTGAAACATCCGTCCACTGAGAACAGGTGAGATAATTTTAAGTACTATGAGGACAATGACAACTGCAGTGATGATTGAGTTAAGGTTAGAACCCGGAATTTAGCGTACTGTCAGCCTTCTCCCGTGTCTCATCGTGTCCATCAGGCTTAACTTTTTCATATCATTTCGGCCTAACGCAGCGAATTATTTCAGCATAGATACCGGAGTACCTGTCAGTGCCTATGCAACCGGGAATACGTTCGTATAAGAGTCAGGATAACATAATGAACAAATTTGCAACAAGTATTTTCCAACATTTGTCTGCAGATTGCTACGGCGATGTAGTCGTTAGCATGATTGACAAAGAGACTGGACAAGGACGTTAGATACGACCCCACTCAGGGAACAAAGGGTAGGTCAATGTATGTGTTGTGTTATTTCGACCATCACAAGCGATGAGGTCCACCAATCGCCCGAGAGCAGGTGACTGTGGTCAGGCATAATGAAAATAGACGCGCCGCCATTTATCCCAATCTAACCCTCGCCCCGCTTGAAATGGTGACAGGACAAAGTCAAGATGACCGAACAGGGATCAGGCGTAAGCCGCTTTCTTCAGACGCAGCCAGAAACACCGCCTAAACTAAGTTTTTAGTGACAGTAGACTTTGCGCGGTTACTACTGCACTGTCTACCCTCATTCGCCTGTAATAGGTGTCTAGCCTGACTCTTGTAAGCCAGGGCTGGTACTGCTACTAGCACTACTGCTATTTTTAATACTACTAACTAGGGTGCAGCTGAGTGCTAGTATTTGCTGGCACTATTACTGAATGCATTGTAAGTCAAAAGTGATGCTGATTTAAGTCAGAACTGGGCTCATATCCCCTCAATCTCAACAAGGAGTGTAGTAGTACTGGTGCTAGCACTGACATCATCATTTGTCAGAGGTAACGCTCATCAAGCCAAGGCTCATATTTCCTTGGCCTCAACAAGGAATATGAATCTGGGTTTAAACTATTTCGAGTAAGTACATGTATCGGCGCTGAGCATGGCAGCGCTTTCCCTGGTTTCAGCACTCTCAACTCTATCCATCGAGCTGTGTACCTTCCTGCTAGGTACGGATTAACGAACTACTGCTATAGGTACGTGCGTATGCTAAGCGTGCTAAATCCTAGTAATCATGCTTACTAAGGCCAGTAGATAGTATGCTATAAATACTCCCTGTGTGTGCTTTTTAAGAAGTCGCACCCAGCATGCGCTCCCAATCTGTGTGAGGTAATAGTGATTAGCATTGGGATAATAATAGAACGTTTTTAAAGTGATGCCCAAGTCCTACCATGCCCTTATGTCGAGCAGTTTGCCGTCAGATAGGGTGGAACATGCACAGATTGTACGGTTTTTATAGCTCATAGCGGTCATCCGCGTGCGTACTGTAATTATTCACTCCTGTAGCCACCGCTTGGATCTTAATTGATGCGGTGATGGCTTGACACTTCGTTTTCGACTCATTAATTCCCACGAGTTTCTTGTCCATGTCGGATGCGGGGTTGGTAAT